AGAATATTCCCAGCAACCAGAGCACAATAAGCAGATGTGGACCTTCTATAATCAATACATCCTGCCCAATCTGCACCAGTAAAGGCTTCCAGCTTCATGTGACCATGCTTAGCAAATAGAATACCTTTCCCTGGAGTACCTTTCAAGTAGCATAGAAGCCTTTCTGCAGCAACTAGTTGAGTATCTCTAGGAGAATGCATAAACTGACTGAGAACATTTACTGCATAGGAAATATCTGACCGAGTCATGCAAAGGTATAATAACTTCCCAAGCAGTCTCTGAAACACTCCTTTATCAGGGTTGAGTCCAGTGAGAAACTCAAACACCCTATTTCTCTCCACTAGCTTTCTATACATTTCAGCATCATTTTTACTCTCCCATACCACTGTTTCCATAACATCAATTTTCTGCCATAAGGACTTTAGTATAGAGTAGTAAATTGCCACACTCTTCTCCCCCTGCCTCAAGTTCTTCACATCACTTTTCAATTTGTATGCTCTGGCTACATTCAGTTTCCGTAAATAGGTTTCAGTTACAATATCCCATATCTCCTTAGCCAAAGACATCCAGAGATAGTGTTGGCTTATATGAGGTTGCATAGAGTTGACTAACCATTATATAATAGTATAGTTCTCATGCATCCATCTTTCAAATTCAGGGTTTGTCTCTTTTGGTTTCACCTTGCTGCCTGTGAGATACTCGAGTTTTCCTCTACTACAAACATAGATTTTTATAGACTGGGCCCAAGCAAGATAGTTCGTCCCATCTAGCTTAATTGTGGTAACACCCGTCAAAATGGAATCTACTGGAGCAGGTCCAGAAGCTGGCACCTGCTTGAACTCACTTCCGCTTGTCTCCATTAATTAAATGAAAAACAAAGAACAGAAACTATGTAAACTTACTTGAAGTCAAACAAGAACTTGGGTGCTTGAAAAACTAGGGTTTTGCTCCGTCCAACAGATGGGCGAGAGAGAGAAGACACTGTCGCACCTACCAGAGTAACCCAAACTCTTCCAAACCTGAACCGCCCTCCTTTAGCAGTCACAAGACACCTTCCAAGCACAGAGCGCCRCACCCAAGCTTCACCTTTCCTGGTAACTCGAAAATCTCCAATTGGCTAGGGTTTTGGGCAGTAGCAAAACAACATCACTTCTTGGCAAAATCTGGCCAGAACTAAACTCTTCAAACCCTTCTACCAACTAGGCAAGTGATTCTCTATACTATAGAGAACCTATCTCTCCATACAMTCTCTTGATTTTAGAGTGTACAGGAACAAAAAAAAAAGAAGGAAGAGGAACTGAACCCACTCTGATACTAAGATGTAAATCAGTCATCTAATATCAAGATTAAATTTAGTGATTAGCATAATAGAATAGATCTAAAAAATTGTATAAGAGAGGAAGATGGCGAAGAGAAGAGGTCAGAGAAGAAGAAGTCGAATTAATCACCCTTCTCCTCTAACCCTATTTTTTATTAATCTCTAAAAAATTGATGATGATAAGTATACCCTTAAGTGGGCGGCTAGCATGGCAGTTACATAAAGAAAGTAAAATAAGAACAAATAACAGGCCCATTAAGTGAGGCCCATTAACATAAAATAAAGGATATTACATGAGAGGCTGTTAGGGCCCATTCGGCCTAGTCTCTTTACAATATTCATATTGTCCTAAATGGAATACCCTAACAGACCTATTAATGTAATACAATAAGTAAGTACATGTACAATGAACTGCTCAAGCCAACAACACAACAAAATGGATCTAAAGTACATGGGCAATAAATATCACCTAGCTTCCCTTCTTCTCTTGTCAATGATTGCTTGCACCTTCATCAACAATTCAGACCCAGGTGCAATGAATGCCTTGTGTCCATCATATATCTTCTACATCCATCTTTTCTTATGTCATCAAACATCTTAACAATAGATATTGCTCTGGCCTTCCCAATCCATGCATTAAATGACTCTGTCTAATTGTTTGTTATGTCATTAGACTTAACTATTAGGTCAAACCCATGCTTGGACCATTTGTTAGGGAGGACATTGTTAAGCCATTCATGTGCATCTCTAGATAGGCTTTTGATTATTTCCATGTAATGAACAAAGTTAGTATGGCTATATGATTTCCCAACAACTCATATGGCATCCTTCAATGCCTTCCCCTTGATGATTTTTTTGAAGTTATTATATAGATGTCATAGATAGAATTAGTTTGCACTAGGCATGCAACATGATACTGCTTTAACAATGCCCTGCAAACAAGCATCACATTTAGTAGTGCTATTTGTACTCAAAATAAAGGAAATTAGGCATTAACTACAAACAAATATATACATACCTTTTGCCTATCAACATAAATGTCCATCTGTGTGAGTCACCAATACCTAGAGCATCTCTTAACTCAACCAAAAACCATGTCCAATTGTCCCTGTTTTCAGCTTCTACCACAAAATATGCAATAGGAAAGATGCCATTATTGTCATCAATCCATATAGCTGAGAGTATTATACCCCCTATTGCACTAGTCTTGGTATGGCAACCATCCAGTCCAATAATCTTTCTACGGCCATCCAAGAACGTATTCCTTGGACCTGCAAGGCATATGAAGACTTTCTTGAAAACCTCAAATGTGTCTTCTTCTGAGGCAAGTGAGGAATGTAGTTTCACAACTGACCCAAGGTTACTTGCAAGCAAGGTTGTACAGTACAGGGGGAGTACTGCATATGATTTGGCCAATAACCCATTGATCCTATCAACAACTGTAAATTTAGCCTTGTGTATTTTCCTCCAAGAGACATTTATCCCATACATCCTCCTGATTTTAGACCTAAGCACATGGCTTGACATGTTAGGATCAACCCTTACTAGCCCTTCAATCTTTGTTGACAACCATGTATTTGTTGCCTCCCTATTTGTAGTCACCCTCAAACAACTATGTGTATCATTGAGGGTCTTCCCTATGAAGCTGTCCCCATCATGGCTAAGGGATGCACAAATCCTCTAACCATAGTCAATTGCAGAACAAACCCTAGTAAACCTACTCTTCTCATTTTTTTTTTCTTTTGATTTCTATACCCTTCACCACACAATACTATCTCAATGCTTGTTTAAACTCTTTCACAACGGCAAATTTCATACCAACCCGAAATCTTAGATTGGAAAAGTCAAAATCCCTTGTATTGCCCCGGTACGTTGGATTGTCATACTCATTGAGTGGCTCATAGTCAGACAAATCAACACCACCACCATCATGCACACTCTCATTACCACCATGTACACCCTTATTATCAACAACTTGATCATTCCCACTTGCATGGTCTACACCCTCATGATCCTCACCATCATCATCCAAATCCTCATGATCCTCACCATCATCATCCGAACCCTCATGAGCCCCAACATCATCATGTTCATAATCCTAACCTTCATCATATAAACCCTCAAATTCCCCATCATCAACATCATGATGACCATATACATCATCGTTACATTCAATCCCCTCATCATGGCCATGGTTATCATCAATTACACCTCCTTCAACATCAACCACGTACCGGTCAACATTATCATCATCTTGCAATTGGTCATTTCCTTTGCTACTGCACCCATCATCCATACTAACACACTTTGCCTTGGTATAAGTAATGTATAATATTATCTCACATAGGTCCCCATGGGTGACAAACATTACCGTCACATCATTTTCACAACCAAGAACACTAAATGCTCATCTAACTCCCATCCTGATATCTTGTAGTTGATTGTCACCACACTTCCAAGAGATACACTACCCAATGAACAGAGGTTATTCAAGATGTCTAGATAGCATATTCTATCACTGTCCACATTATCCATATATCCAACTTGACCATTTACATATGATAATTTCCCATTTGTGGTATTCTAATGACTACCATAATTGATGATGAACATATATCTACTCCCATCCATCACCTACATCATAGATATGGACAAATATAGTTACAATATGCTGATTATAAGCTACAACTATTGTAGTTTATAATCTATACTATAAGACATGCTGATTATAAACTACTATTTTCACATGATTATATATATTCTTGGTCTGTATACAACATAAGCAACATCATAAGCTATATAGTAAGCTACACTATAACCTACACCATAAGCAACACTATGAGCTAGACTATAAACCACATTATAACATACATTGTAAGTTCTATAAGCTACAATTTTAAGATACACCAACTATATTATAAGTATACACAAGCTAAATTCCCCATTTCTAACATTCAATCATGGGCCCTATATTTATTTACTGGTATTGGCAGTTTCATGTGGAAACAATGCTTCTAGCATTTTGTCAAGCACTTAGATCCACGTGTGGATCCCATGTGTACGAATTAAAATAGACACATGGGCCCAACACACCACATATACCTAGATCTATGAGTGGTCCCCCAAAAGCTAACTATCTACCTCAATTCCAAATGCCGTTTTACCCGGACCGAATGAGGGATTTGTCAATAAATCTCTATGAGTGGTCTCCCAAAATCTAGCTAAAAATCACATAAAAAGCTGGACCATACCTTTGTGATGACAAAAAATGCAGGTTTTTAAACAAGTCCTTTTGGAATCCCATTGCAAAAGAGTGAATCAGTTGTAAGAAAAAGCTCTAAGAACAAGCATAGGAAGAGGATAAATGCTGTCCTTCCATCGGAAAAAAATGATGGAAAGTAGGTTTTTCCATACAAATCTGCCGTGCACCATCGTACCACCTGCCGGAGTTTGCACTGAAAATCGGGCAAATGATTGTGGTTTCTTCTCCGCTCGAACGACGATAAAACAACTTTCGCAAAATGTAATATCGGTTTATGCCTTTAATCAATTCTTCACTAACGAAGGGTAAAAAAATAATTTGCAAAATGTAAAATCAACTTTTCTGTCCCAATTTAACGACAATGACAACATAAGACAATATTTAAACAGTTAGGGTACGATGGGTTTAATTTAAGAGATTTACCCTTCAATTTTCCCTGCTGTGGTCGAACCCACCCAATCACATAACAACAACTGTCCAAACTCGTGTGGCTACCTTCTACGATACGCTCGTATCTGATATCTCTGTTTTCGAGTCAGGAAAGGACTCCGCTGCCCGCTGGTAATCGGGCGGATTAGTCCTAGCAGCGTCGACCGAAAGAGTCGTAACGCTTTGAAGTGATGAACTTGCGTTGTATGCCTTCTGAGACTTGAATTAACGTCTGGTGCAGATTTATATGAAATTTCTTCGACCATAATCAGGATCGCAGGAGGTGCACAGTTTCTACCAAAAAAAAAAAAAAGTAACTTTTCTGCCCAAAATCTACAGAAGTTGAACCCTCCACACAGAAGAAAAAAAATTGCTATTTTTCCCTTTCCTTTACCAAAATAAAAAGGATGAATGATATTCTAATTATGAGGAGGTTGTCGTTATCCTCGGACTAGGTATTTCCATAGACACCATCAGGCGGTGTCGAAGGAGCAGAGATCGGCGATGTGGCCTGTATGAGGTCGAGGACGTGGACGCAGGCGCTGCCGCTGCCGCTGCCGTGGATACCGAAGTTCTGTGAAGTTGCATGGAGAGAGGTTCTCGTAGAAGGGGCTTAACTTGACGGCGTAGCCGTTGAAAGGGGGTTTCGAGACCGGTATTTGTTTCTCAAGGGTTTTAGCTGTCTGGTTGAGGCCGGAGGTGGAGAAGAGGTGTTGCGGTGACCAGAGAGATGAGAGAGGGAGGGAGCTAGTTGTCGCACGCGGGGGGAGTGTCACACGAGGTTGGGACAGCTGTAACTTTTCTATTGGGTTAGCTGCAAGATTTGCAGCTCGACGATTGGGATTCGTAATTGGATAGGAATCGAGGTGAGACAGTAAAAGGCAGGAGGAAGACTGAAATTTTGCAACTCTCAAGCCCTAAAATTCTACACTTTTTCTCTTTTATACCTCTTTGTTTGGGTTACTTTGATCTCTTCTAATTCCCACCTGTTGTATCTCTATTTCTCCGACATCCTTGTTCTAAGCTGAAACCTTCAATATACAGCTTTTGGTTTGATTGCAGTAGTTTTGGCGGGAAAATGGAAAATGACTCTTTAATGGGAGAAAAATCAGCTGGCAATAAGGGAACAAAAAGGGGGGTAGGGGCGGGAGCCAAAAAAAGCAAGGGAGGAAAGAAGAGGAAGGCAGGAGTGGCCGCGACAGAGGGAGAGGCTTCGACAGATTTTATTGCGGATCAAGATACTCCGCGTGTAACGGTTTCGACGTTCGATTATAATGTTGACAATTACTTCAGAGCCGTGGATACGATTTCTAAGCTTTGTGGAGAGGAGGGGGAAGCTGTCAATGCGAGTGAGGTCGAACGTTTATCCACGATGATCATTTTCTTAAGGTTAGCTTTTGCTTTGTTTTTAGAAGGTTTCTTGTTGCAGCATTGTCATATACTGTGAGTTTTTATGTGGAAAGGGATTTTGTTTCGTTATATGTGAATGGGGTGCTTATGAATTGTAGTGTAGAAAGAAATTAAGTACCCCAAGTGCGGCTACCTGCCTCTAGATATCTGCTTATTAAAATTCAAGCATTCAAACGACAATAGAGATAAGACATTAGGCACTGTGACTTAGATTAATTTAACGTTGCTTCTTTGGTATGTGGAGGGCATCCTGTATGACATTTGATCTTCTCTGGTATAGCTAAATTAGCTAATTTGTTTCTTTTGAAATGAGGGGGTAGATTGATGTGGAGATGTACTTCTCTTGCTACACTAAGATTTTAACCAACTGTAGAGGCTCTCTCTTTTCCTGTATCTTGGGTTTTAGTGGTTGGTAGTTGAAGGTGACTCCTTTACCATGATGAGTTGATGAAGATTGGGAGGAGACTTTCTTGGACACTTAACATCATTAGGTCTCTTTAGCATGTCCAAGGTTGCCTGCTTTTCTTTTAGCTTGTTATATGTTTTTCAATTCTTCCTTTGACGATGTTTTAAAACCTTCAAGACATGAAGCATACACCTCATGAACTTTTTTGATAAATGGAGACCTACTTGAGGGTCTTGAGAAGATCTAGATTCATCTTTAGAGTGCTTCCCCTTTTGCGAGCCAACTAGACAGTTTTCATGTGAATCAACAATGTTCAAAATTGGGTAAGCTTTTGGTGTCCGGAGAATGGACTGAACATTGGATAGATATATCTCACAATAAATTACCTATGCTCATATCATACCATTGCCCATTATTGCTGTTAGAACTGTTATATATGTAGGCAGCAGGGTATATCAATCATTGTTTTATATTTTGCTTAAGGAAGGGTAAATCTTACACCCCCATTAAGTTATAATAAATAACAGATGGGCGGCAGAAAGAAGATTCATGATTTGAACTTCTTTGTGCTTTGTCCTATTCTTTTCTTATCTATTTGTTTTTATTCCTTGTTCTCTTTCTTATTCTTATTTTCTTTTTAGTTTTACCTTCAATCTAAGATCAAGCCCAGGCTATTTTCATGGTAATAGAGTAGTCAACACCCTATATTTGGTTGGGTGCATAGTTTTCAAGGCACCAAGGTGAGGCTAGGCGATAGGGGGCACCTTGTCACCTAGTTGTCTAGGTGTTGCCTAGGCGATGGATTTTTTTAAGTACAAAGCATATACCCTAAGGTAATTCCCTAGGTTCCATAACTATATTTCCTTAATAATAATCCATAATTTTCATAAGAAAAGTATAAACTTCATGTTGAAGTATAGAAAATCAACATATTCATGAGAAGAAAAGGAAGAAAGAAAAGAAAATTCAAAAAAATATAGGGGCTGATAAAGGGGTTATATATATATATATCTTTATTCAATATTAATAAAATCGACTATTATTAATACCAATAAAAATATTTAAAAATGGCTTTAATGTCACTCTTCTCTACATTGCCCCTGTCGTGGAGCATAGATGTTTGCTATGTTCAAATTGCTGAATACATTAAAACAATTGGTTCTTTCAACTTCCTTGGTTAAATGTCAGCCAATTGGTTTTCAGTCTTCACATAGGGCAAGCACACCTCTTGTGAGTCATTTTTTTTTCCAAAGTGTCTATTCACTTTGACATGTTTAGTGCAATCATGTTGTACTGGGTTGTGAGCTATGCTAGTCGCAGATCTGTTGTCACAATATAATTTCATCAGTCCATCAGCTTGTATCCCAAGTTCAGTTAATAACAACTTCAACTATAATAACTCATACTCCATGAGTCATACTTTAAATGCTACTTTTGCATTAGATTTTGTCACAATAGGTTGCTTCTTCTCCATGTAACTAGTTTTCCATTGACTATTATGAAATATCAAGAAGTGTACTGATTGTTTAGGAATTTTTAGCTTTCATTAGTTTTATTGGCTTTTTAATTGAATTCTTGCATGTATACAGAGAGTGGAAGCATTATTATTACAAACCAAGAATCATTAAGTTCACTTGTGGAACTGAAAAACTGCAACAAAAAGATGTTGTTAATGGGATAAACTTACCTCAATTCTCTTCTGCAACTGTTCCAAAGGTACTAGATTTGATATTTTCTTATTGGCATGCCATCATTTATTCTTTTTTGTATTTATTTAATAGAAAAAAGGGAGCTTATGGTTCCTTAAGCTTCTGGTACATCTCGTCAAACACAGCCTATAGGTCATGATGTTTTCTCTCTTTTGATATGCTATTTTTTTTTTTTTTTATTGATACTCTTTTCTGATATGCGAGTTGGAATCTTGAACACTTCAAAAGTGGAGTTGCCAAGTTGCCCTCTAACTCTTAACATTTAAGTAGAAATTTCTGCACAAAAATTACATCCTTGAGAATATTGTTTTTAACTACTGAATTTGCATACTGATGCAGATGGAGAGACTATCTGATGACATGAATTTTATAGAGTCAAGGTATTTTGATTGTTTTTTGTTTTAAATTTTAATGATAATTTATTGAATGATGTACCAGTAGCAATTCCCATAAATTATTGTTTGTATTTCTATTTGAAGATGCAGGTAATGCTTACATCTTGTAAATGATAACTGGAAATTCTTATTTTACTCCATTGATGCTTTCATGCTATTATACTTGTAATGCTAGTCAAGTCTAGGTTTTTCCTTGTCAACAATTTTTGTGTTTTGGCGGGTGTGGGTGCTGGACCACTTGGCTTTGGGGTGTTTTTGTAGGTTGCAGTTGGCCGGGTGTGCCACCATTCTACTGCCACTCTTTTCTCAATGTTGATACCATTTTTTGGTTTTCTTTCGCTTAGACTGCAAAGCCTAAATAGGGGTTATGGCTTTGGAGGTTTAGTTTAGGGAGAGAGGAGAACTCTCTGTGGAGGAGGGTTGTGGTTGGGAAGTATGGAGTGGTGAGATTCGGCTGGGAATCAAGGGAGGTGAGGGCTTCATATGGGGTGAGTGTGTGGAAGGAGATCGTGACTTTTAACAAGGAATTCAGAGACCTAACTAGCTTTGCAGTTGGGGATGGGTCTAAAATCAGATTTTGGGAGGATGACTGGTGTGGGGTGGGTAAGCTGTGTGAGTTATGCCCGAGATTGTATAGGTTAACAGAGGCTGAAGTTTCTATCAGTGATTGTTATCAAAGAAGGGGGGATTGGTTGATTTGGAGTCTGAAATTCAGAAGGCCTTTGCTGAATAGGGAAGTCGAAGAATGTATCTCTCTTTTAGAGAAACTAGAGGGTGTAAAACCTGCATTTCATCAGAGAGATGAGCTCTGGTGGAATGAATGCAGGAATGGAAAATTCACAGTCAAATCGTGCTATATGGCTATCAGCAGGTCTAACTCAGATTCAAGTCATCTTAAGGGAATCTGGGGAAACCCAGTCCCTCCAAGAGTTGAGACTTTGGCTTGGCTGGTAGCAATGGACAACATTTTTTTTTTTGAAGAGGTAAGGTAATTTTATTCAAAAAGTGAGAACATACAACAGAGCTCAGGCCAAGATAAACAGCCTGAGAACAACACAAGTTATAAGCTCCAACAAGACTGATACCGAAATAAAAGAGGCAAATTCAGGTGTCTGAACTCCTCAGTAACAGACACCTAAGAAATCAGCTTGCCCACTGCTCTCTACACTGGCTCTTCAGGACTTTTAACTCTATTACAGAAAATTCTATTGTTCCTTTCAGTCCAAATGGACCACAAGACTGCTATAGGGATGGTCCTCCACACTAATTTTCCTTTCTTAGGCCTTTTACTTTCCAACAGCACAGCAGTCCTTGACTGACCTAGGCATAACCCAGCTGATGTCCATGGAATTCAGGAAATGCTCCCACACCTGAGAGGAGAGCGAGCAGTGAAGACAGAGATGATCTGTAGATTCTGGGAGGGGAACCACAAAGACCACAAGAAGGATCCAAAATTTGAATGCCACGCTTCTCAAGATTAGATATGGATAGGCATTTGTCTAGGGCCATTGTCCACACCAGAAAGTTGGATCTAGATGGGCTTGTTGGATTCCAGATCTGAGTAGCAGGGAAGTCTGTAGGGCCTGAGGTGCACATTTTGGAAGCTAGAGACTTAACAGAAAAACAACCATTAGGGTTCCATTTCCAGCACCATTCATCTTCCGAGGATAGGTCTATCTTCTGCTTCTATAGAAGCTCCATCAGCTCCATAATCTCATCTATCTCCCAGTCAAATAAGTTCCTCCTAAAGAGGGGTGTCCAAATAATAGAGTTTGCAGAAGAATATTAACTCTCAGCCACTGAGGAATCTTGGTTAGAAGCACACTGGAAAGGGAGAGGAAAAGTATCAGCCAGTGGACCTTCCAAACACCAAGGGTCCTTCCAAAATATAGTTTTATCCCCTTTGCCTATCTTGACTGAAACTCCTTCCAAGAAAACAGAGAAATTCTTCATGATGCCTTTCCAAAGGGAGTTACCCCAAATTGGAGGAGGATCCCTAGATCTCCAATTGCCCCACTCCACCCCATATTTTCCAGCTATAAGGGTTCTCCACCAAGCATTCCTTTTAGAAGAAAACCTCCAAATCCACTTACTGAGAAGGGCTGAATTAAAATTCTTCAGTTTCTTTATACCCAATCCACCTTCTGCCTTAGGAAGGCACATTTGGTCCCACTTAACTAGGTGAATTTTGTTTTCATCTTCCCAACCCCTCCAAAGAAAGTTTCTCTGAAGCTGCTCCAATCTTTTTGCTACTTTGTTTGGGATAGGGAATAGAAACAGGAAATAAGTGGGCAGATTAGAAAGGGTACTTTTTATCAGAGTTACCCTGCCCCCCAAACAGAGGTATTTTGCCTTCCAAGAAGCTATTTTTTTCTCCAATCTTTCAATGACTATGTTCCAAACCGAGGAAGAAGACCAATTTGCCCCCAAGGGCAGACCCAAATATTTCACAGGGAGGAATTCAATCTGACAAGCCAGCATCTCATCACAATCTTCTAAATTGGCAACTTGACCCGCTGGAATAATTTAACTTTTGTTCAAATTAACTTTAAACCTAGAAACCACCTCAAACCAGGTTAAGATCCCAAGGACTAGATCAAACTGAACAGGGGAAGCATCCACAAAGCATAGTGTATCATCTGCAAATTGGAGAATATTGACCTTTTCCCCCTCAGGGGATATTGCAAATCCTTCCTAACAACCAGAATCAGCTGCCTTCTTGTAAAAAAAAAAAAAAAAGAAAGAATTTCCATAACACAAATAAAGAGCAAGGGGGAGAGGGGATCACCCTGTTTCAAACCCCTTAAACTGTCAAAAAACCCCGTTGATTGACCATTTATCAACACTGAATTTAGGAGAGGTTATATACATACTTTGATCCAATTCCTTCATTTTTGCCCAAAATTCATCTGCTGCAACACAAAATCAATACATCTCCAATTGACATGGTCGTAGGCCTTTCCAATGTCTAATTTACAAACCAGGTGGGGACTCCCTCTCTTCTTCTTGAATGAATAAGCTCATTAGCAATAAGTACTGAGTCAAGAATCTACCTTCCCGGGGCGAAAGCACTTTGATTGTTTGAAATTACACTACCTAAAGACCCCTTTCATTCTCTCAGCTAGAACTTTAGCCAAGATCTTGTAAAAACTGTAAGAGACTGATTGGCCTGAAATCTTTGATATTTACAGTCCCTTCAATTTTTGGAATGAGAGTGATAAAGGTAGTATTTAGACTTCTTTGCAGAGAAGCATTTACATAAAACTCCCGGAAGACATTCATCAAATCTTGTTTCACTATATCCCAACATTTTACATAAAAGAGATTGGTGAGATCATCCCACCCTGGGGATTTATCATCTTCCAACTTGTTAATGGAAGTCTTGATTTCCTCCTCCGTAAAGGGTCTCTCAAGGAAAGATTTCTGATCTTCACTCAACTGCTTGAAAGGAAGGTTCTTGGGAAAAGGTCTAAGAGTCCAATTTTCTTTATAAAGATTTTTATAGAAAGTAGTTGCCACCACTTCATTTCTGCTGCTGATTCCCCAGTTCTTCTTTCCCACTACAGCTTGCTGATTGAGGAAACTCTAGCTCTGGCATTTATCATTTTATGAAAAAAATGAGTGTTTTTATCCCCCTCATCCAACCAAGCCACCTTAGCTCTTTGCCTCCACTTGATTTCTTCCTTGACAGTCAATTTATCAAAATTAATTTTTGCCTGGGATCTCTTCAACCTCAAGTCTTCTGATAAGGAACCTACCTCTTCCGCTGAATCAATTTCCTCAATGATGCTCAATAAAGCTCTCTTTTCTGTTTCTGAACTCAAGTTTTTCTCCAACTTTCAAAATTTTAATTTCTCTTTAATTGCACCTAGTTTTTTTTTTTTGCCAAAATAAAGGAGCTAGTACCCTCCACCTGAAGGTCTCTCCATACAGTCTTCAACAAGGGAATAAGCTTTTCATCTTTAAACCAAGCATTTTGAAGCTTGAACAGAGTTCTGATTTTTTCTCGATTGCCACAAACAAGCTGAATTGGGATATGATCTGAGAGTGGCCTAGGGAGGGCAATCTGCCTAAAATCAGGAAAAACCTCCTCCTAATTTGAAGAGACCAAAAACCTATCCAGTCTCACCAGAGTGGGATTGCCTTGATTATTGGTCTAGGTAAATTGATTGCCCTGAGAGCCATGTTCTCAGGTCCAATTGGAGTGGGGGATTCTCTTAGAGCTGAGATCCTGGCAATTATGGAAGGAGTTCAGAAAGCTAACGAAATGGATGTCAGAAAACTCATAATTGAAGGGGACTCGGAGATGGTGATGGGGTGGCAGAGGAAAGACAATTGTGGATTATGGAAATACAACAATGAGAGGAGAAATATCAAGTGGCTGGTGCAGGATATGGAATCAGGATGAGTTGGGTCAAAAGAACAGCTAACTCTATAGCTGATGGGCTAGCTAAACTGGGGATCGAAAGGGATGTAATGTTTTGGGTTAAGTTGTAACAAATTGCTTCTTCTTTTCCTCTTCTTTCTTTGAGGACTAAATGTTGTTCTGGAAGATAAGAGTGTTTGTCTTCCTTGCTGTAACTATTCTTGTATTCTTGTGATATTTTAATAAAATTGCTGAAATTATTATTGATAAAAAAAAAAAGAAAATCTGTTAATAAAATCAGCGAACTGAAACATTGCTCTTGTTCTTCTACCTCTGGTATTCTTTTCTTCAACAGACAAGGTAACATTGAAATCACCTCCAATGACCTAGGGATATGTCAATGTGCTCCTCACCTCTACCAATTCCTCCCAAAAATCATCCTGAAGATTCAGATCTGTAGGACCATAAACATTTTTTTTTTGATAATTGGACCATAAACATTTGTTACTTGGTAGATATTCCCATCTGAGAATTTCAGCACTAAAGAAATTGAGAAATTCCCAATATGGTAAGAGATTAAGCAGTTAAAAGAGGGATCCCAAAGGCTCAACAAACCCCC